GAGACGGTGAGTTCTAGTCCACCTTGGGCATGAAAGCCAATTGGATGGTTTTGTGCCAGTCACCGGGAGACGGTGAGTTCTAGTCCCGCCTTGGGCATGCAAGCCAACAGCCCACCTGACGGTGGTGGTGGAAGAAATAGGAGGAAAGCAACGTTATTAGGAACGTTCATCACCTTGAATAATAATAAAGGCAGTATTTTAAATAATAAAGGCAGGATTTTTTTTAAAAAAATGTTAACCAATAAAATAAATGAATGAAACTTGCTTGTAAGACGATTGTTGTATGTGTTGATTCTGGAGCCAGTTCCTAACCTGATCCTTTTTTCCTTTTTTATATATGAATATGAAATTCTTTACATGCTGAAATAGCCAGCACCAAGGAGGGGAGAATGGAGCTCCGTTTTCTCTCTGGACGCAACCCCGGACTGTTTGAACGAATCAGTGCTTTCTTGTAGCCAAGGATCTCCACCACCCCCACACACATCATGGCTGAAGAAATCCCCTTGTAATAAATGTTTTAAAAGCTTCCCCTTTGCCATGTGCTGTTTGTACGCTCTTCCCTTGGATTTTATCGGCAGTGAAAGAAATTAACCTTCTAAAACCAGGCAAAATCCCAGAGATACCAATAAAAAATAGAGATGAGGTACTGACTAAAGGTCTACTTGGGTGAAAAAAAATTCAATTCCACTTTATTACAGCAGATGGTATAAAGATGATGGCTCTCTCAGGCTTTGGACTAATTAATTTCAAGTCTAGCTGCTCGTTCTATGTAATATTTAATATAATTTATATGTAATATTTAATATTGGAGAGTTGAGTTTTCCTTTCCTGGTGTTTCTTCTTGGTTTTAGATTGCAGGCTTGCTGATTGGTCACTGAACAGAGTGGATTTTTGAGTAAATAATGGAATAAAACTTCCATTGTTCAATTTACAATACGCTCCACGAAAACAAAACCTGCTCACATCTGTTATCATCCAATACGTCGCATTAGTTCCTGGAGATCCATCATAGAGATGCTAGGAGGCAGAGCGGCTCTGCATTGATAAGAAACGGGAGCGGTCAAAAGGCAAGACGGGCGCTCACCGGAAGTGAGTGACTCTTAGGTCCCACCCCATTCCCATCCACCTAACCAATGAGGTTGCAGTCTATACTGAGGGGAATTAGAGGAAGGAAACCGTGGGCGGCTCCCTGCTGATTGGTGGCCGCCAATGAAAAGACGGCGTTGGCTTCCCTCCCCCCCCACGTCCCCTTCAACTCGCGCGCGACGGACGGCACTCGCGCCTGCGCAGACTGAAATTTTATTTTTATTTTTTAAAACCCTTCCTCACCTTTCCTCCCCCCACTCCTCCCCGCCCCCCAATCTTCTTTAACGGCCGGTTTACCTATGTCGCCCTTTTCGTAACTGGAGTCCGACGCGAGAACGGAGGGAAATGTCGTCGGGGGTCCGCGAGGTGGTGACGCTCCAGCTGGGCCACTACGCGGGAAGCGTGGGCGCTCACTGGTGGGGCCTTCAGGTAGGCCGAAGCGGGGGGGGGGCAGGGGTGGCGGAGGGAAAGCGCGGGACGGAACGCGCATGCGCCGACAGGGCCCCCGGGAGAAACTCGGTTGATGACGTCATTCCAGGGGAAACGCGCGATTGGACCGGAGCCCGCAGGGTGGGCGGGGCTTGTCTATTTCCAAGTTAAAACTCAGCAGACGTGCACGTGGGAGACTGGTGTTTACACTCACACGTGCTTGCACGCCCGCGTGCATATTTGCACCCGCACGTGCATGAAAATCTATCTCCTGTCAATTCATTTAAAGTTGCATGCATGGCTTTGCTTTTTTTTTTTTCCCCCAGCCCACCACGCTTTTATCCCCATAACGGCCCTGCAAGGTAGGCCACCCTGGGCTGGGCCAGGACTAGATGACCTTACACTCTGTTTTTCTGCTATTCTTCCTTCTTTCCTCCCTTCTCCATCACTTGAGACTTTCAAGAAGAGATTGAACTCCCACCTGTCAGAAATGGTGTAGCAGGGTCTCCTGCTTGGGCAGGGGGTTGGACTAGATGACCTACAAGGTCCCTTCCGACTCTTGACGATCTGTTATCTATGACCTTTTCATTTCTGCCTTCCAGGAAGCGCTGTTCTCATCCAATTCCCCGGCTTCCGACGCGGACGAAGCAATTCAGCACGATGTGCTGTTCCGAACAGGGAGGACGATGCAGGGACGCGAGACGTTTACCCCCCGTCTCATCCTGATGGACCTCAAAGGTGAGGGCTCAGCCTTGTCAGTTCTGTTTGAGAAGCACACAACGCCCGCCCTTCGGGAGATGGGAAGGTGGTCGAATCGGCTCGCTTAAGGACTACCTCTCGCTTAATGCCGTCAATTTTGCTCGCGGTTAAGTTGCAGCCCATGTGCCTCTCGATGTCTTCTCAGCCCAGGGGGCTCTCTAAAATTATAAACCTGTTTTTATTTCTGGGCAGAAAGTCTCGCCACTTTGAAACAGGAGGGATACCTGTATGAGGACCCCAAAAAAAACATCCCCATAGCTTGGTGAGTGGGTATATATATATTTTTTTAACCAAGGGCAGTTACTTGCTTTCTTTGTTATTTATTTATTGCTTACATTTATTTCCCGCCAACCTCTACAATCATAAAAATATTTGGAACACAAAACTGAATTTTGCTGTTTAATTGAACTGGGCTATATTTGTTACTTTTCTTTGTTGTTGTTTTTTCGTATGCTTGTTTTTATTATTGTTATTACTCTTTTATTCATTAAACTTGAAACTATGTCAACTGAACATATAAAAATGTATCGTAATTAGTATTGACTAACACTGATGGTTGATACGGATTGCTGCCAGCATCCTAGGTATAAATGAAGTATCTTCTTAAAATGTATGATGTTCTGAGTAGCGCAGTTTTCATCATCATTATTATTTTATTCATTAAACATGAAACTCCGTATTATCTTATTCATTAAATATGAAACTCAGTATATTATCTATTATCATCTCCTATTTATTAAACATGGAACGAAGTATTATCTTATTCATTAAACATGGAAAAGTATCTTATTATCCCTTATTCATTAAACATGGAACTCAGTATTACTATTATCTTATTCATTAAACATGGAACGAAGTATAATATTATTATTATCTCTTATTTGTTAAACATGGAACTCATTGTTGCTGGATGTTTGCAAGTTAGTTTCCTTTGCTTTGTGTATTTTAAGTTTGAAATAAATGAATTTAACTTTGAAATAAAAAATGAAAATCATAAAAACAAGCTTGCGTCTCGCAGGGCGTGTGGCTTGCAGAACCAAGATGAATGTGGGTCGTTAAGCAAGGCTTAATTAAAAACAGAAGCCACTGACATTTCTCGATTTGAAAACTCTCTCTTGGGTTAAGTAGGGTTTGCTAGGCCTGGTACCCTGGCAGTCTTTGTGGGAAAGGAGAGCTCCTTTTCAAAATCGTCCTCATTTTATAACCATCGTAGTCATATATAATCCTTTGTGAATTTCCCGGCCAGTTTCCAACAAGCCAAACCAATGCAAAACCCCGATTTGCTTAACAAAGACTGCATGATTCATTTGACGACTGCTGCGTCTGCTTGACCAAACTTGAGGCAAAGGAGGGCGTTAAAACCAGGCTTGACTCATTTAACGACCGTTTCCTGTAGCAACGGAAAGTCTAGTCCTGATGGTGGTTGTAAGCCGAGCACAATCTGTATTTCCCGTCCCGGTTCATAAGAACGGATCTTCTCCTTCCAGGAAGGGGAACCTCACGACGCACCAGCAAGACCCAGTGCCTCCCAGTCCCGTTTTGGAAGGGCTTGAACAGCCTGAGGTGAAACTCTCTCTTTCTCCCTTTAATTTCTAAAAATTGGGTTCCCCCCCTCATAGATAGAAAGAAAGAAAGAAAGAAAGAAAGATAGATAGATAGATAGATAGATAGATAGATAGATAGAGATAGATGATAGATAGATAGATAGATAGATGATAGAGAGAGAGAGACAGACAGACAGACAACTCGTAAAGCATTCCTAAGCCTGCTTTTGAGTTGCCATAAACAAGGGACGAGGGACGAAATCTGAAGGCGCAGTACGACAGTTTAAAACCAGAAGTACATTCCAACACTTATCTTACAAAGATTGTAGCTGGGCTACCAGATCTTCTGCCCATGAACATCCTTCATTGGAGAATGTGATTGATGACACTCAGCCCAGGCGCTTCGTTGGAGAATCTGATTTATGACACACCCAGGGGGGAGGGGAAAAACAGGGTCACAGGGGACTGTCAATTACCTATGCCAGAGTTGGCTTCATTTAGGTTAATGCCAGCATGTTGCTGCTAAGAAATCTTTTGGATTCTTTTGAAGCTTGGCTGGAGGCTCATGATTTAATGAGGGCAATCGCCGGAACCCTGACACATATATTTATATGGAGCAAAAGCGTACAAGCCCTGGGACAAATTTTCCTTTTTTTTCCCCCTGAGGGACGTCACCTTGGCCTTGGGAACTGGGATCAGAGAGACCTGGTTTATTTTTATTTTTTTTCTCACATCCCGGCTCTTCCTTATTTTTTTTTTTTCTCTCATTTCAGAACGACAGGTTTTCCAATGGCGATGGTGCCTCAAAGAGCCTCCCTGGTGGTAAAGCTGTGTGTTTGTGTTTGTGTTTTTTGTGCGTGTGTTTGGTGCGTCCAGTGCTCAGTTAGAGTTTAACTGTGATGGAGCATGTCAGTTTTATTTTAATTTTACTGCATTTTTATTTGAATTGAACTTAGTTTAATTATTATATGTTTTGTTACTGCATTTTAATTTTAATGGATTTTAATTTGGTTTAATAATTTAAATTTTGTTTAATTTTGCTTTTATTATTTTATGTTGTTTATGTTATGCTATGCTATGTTAAAATTTATTGGTTGCCATCTTACCTCTAATTCTGGCTGGCTAACAATGGTAGGTCAAACCAGGGTGACTTGTTTGACTGGATAGTCATCTCCCTCCTGTTGGATCAGGGGCTGGTGGGACTTCAGCTCCCAGAATTCCCCAGCCAGCAGAACTCTGGGAGTTGAAGTCCAACAGGCTCCAAATGGCCGAGCCTGGAGACTCCTACGTTAGATTTTGCATGAGTTTAGGAGCTTCTTTTTTGAGAAGGGGGGCTTTGGACTGGGCCGAGGAGAAATCTGGCGTGCTAGCAATAGCCCCCCCAAACTTGGAGGGCTCGGCCCGCGATTCGAAGACCTTTGCCGCCAGGGGAAACCTAACCCCGCACATCTCCTGGTGGTGTCTTTTCTCAGGAAAGCCGCCGCAGCTTGCCAAGCCGCTTGCGACGGAGAGCCTGGCGCCCGCTTGGTCAGACTTCCTCCGTACCAAACTCCACCCGCGTACCATCCTGACCATCCATGAATACAACCGCGAGGAGTGAGTGGGAGAGGGGGGAGGGGGGGAGGCTCTTCTCCCAATTTGGTGGTGGTGGGGATCCTATTTCTCCTGCCCAAATTCAGCTTCCTATCCGTTGCAGGGAGTCCAGCCGGCTGGAGGCCTTCGGACAAGGAGAAAAACTCCTGCAGGCCAGCCGGTACCTGGAGGAGCTGGAAGATCGGCTGCACTTCTACGTGGAGGAGTGTGATTACCTGCAGGTGAGTAATCCACCCAGCATGGGATCTTGTCCCCCCCCCCCGTGGCTGCAAAGCAGGGATGTCCAACCTTGGCAACTTTAAAGACTTGCGGACTTCAACTCCCAGAATTCCCCAGCGGGCGTGATTTTAGGCCGATCACCACCAGGAGACTGGGAGTTCTAGTCCTGACTTAGGCACGAAAGCCGG